ATGCAGTCACCAGTTCAGGTCGTGTTGTGCAAGTCCTGACCGGATGGACTGACGCGGTTGTTTTGCTGCCCTGAGCTGCCGATGCCGACGCGCGTCATGGCAGCGTTCCTCTGAGCTGCGTCTCCCCAGCGGGCCACGGCGCATGCAGTGCCAAGAGGGATCGCGACGCGAGCATCGTTCCGGGCAGATCAACAGAGGTCGCTGGAACGAGAGATTTACATGAAGTTCCAGCGGCCTGCAGTTTGAAGCGGCACGGCAAACGCTCGAGAACGATTGCGAGGTTCGCGCTTGGCTGGAGTCGCCCGCCAATCTCGCCCACGATCTGATTGATGCCGGCTGCGGGTGAGTTTGCGAGGAGGGGCACATGTTTCGGATGAAAGAGCAACAGGTCGAAGTGGCCATCAACCCTCGAGATGGCGCGGACGTGTAGGTTGCAAAGGCCGATGGGGCGCCCAGTTTCAAGTCGCGCTTGCCCCTCTACAGGAAGAATGTTCGAGAATGTTTTTTTTCCAATTAGTCTGGGGGCCCTTTTAAAACATATGTTGAATGATTTGTTGAGCACGTTTTAAATATGTTTGATGTGTTCGTCCAAATTCCCTTGTAGGGGGACAGGCCCGACCTAGGCCCAGCGCGCTCGAGGTGCCCGCCTTTCGGCGCGCGGGCCTGCGCGCGCACATTTGCGCCCCCCCCCTTTCGGCGGAGATGATTTCAGAGCGCGGTGGAAGAATGTCGACGCCTCGGGCGCGGCGCGCCCGGTTTCCCTCGAGCCGCGCGCGCCCGCCCGCCAGTCGGGCGTGTCCCTGTGCAGGAGGAGTATTCAAAAATAGCCAAGAATGGTCTGCATACGACTCAACTTATATGTTTGACCGTTTGGGTGCACTTTTTGAATATTTTTAATGTTTCGCCGAATTGGCTTGCAGGGGCAGGCCCGGCACGGGCCCGGCCCCTTTTTTGATTTAGCGCGCGTGCGATCGCGCGCGTGCCGTTGACCATCTCCCACGCACAGGTCTTTTTGCCCCCTGCTTGCCATGGCCGAACCATGTCCAACGGGGTCGTCCACGGCGTCGTTTGCAACGGCGTGAGCGACCTGAACGGGCAGCGGCTGCGTCCTTACGCGATGCTTCTCAGAGCCACGACACTCCAATCAGCTGATCATCTGCGACGCATGACTTGAATTCCGCCCCCTGCGGTCCGCGCCTCCGCCCCGCGCCCACTTTTATTCTTCGCTTCCTGCCATCGCCCTAGCTCTTATGCCCCCGCCTTGTCCTTCATCATTCTGCCGTTTGTTCTTGCGTCAGTTTGCTCTTCCGCCCCGTGATCGTCGTTGTTCCCCCGCCTTTCTTGTCCATGGCAGACGTTGAGGTGCTAGGGCGCTGCCTCGGTCAAATCAGAGGCAGCAGCGTGGAATGGACCCCCGCTGCAACGTCCCGGCGGAGAACCGCGGGTCACGCCCGGAAGCCGCGAGGGGGGCATCCACGTCCACGCCCATGTCTTCCTTGACGTCCACAACCTCATCCGCCTCCGCCCTCCGCAGCAAGCACCTGCCCGTGCGCTTTCTCAAGCAGCGCTACCCTGGCATCCCCCTCCCCATCGTCCTCCTCCTCCTGGCCATCCTGGCCCCCCACCGCCGCCTCCTCCTCTTGTTTGTCCTCCTCCTCCTCCTCCTCCTCGCCCTGATGCTGCTCCTCCTCCTCCCTTACCTCCCCCTCGCCCCCCCCCCCCCCTTCCCCCCACCTGCTCCTGCGCTAAATCATAAATAAGACGCGGCAGACCGCGTGAATGAGACGACGCCGACGCGCCCGCTTCCGCGGGCAGCTTGCGCGCGGGCGAACGCGCAGTCGATCCCCGCGGCATCGCCCCCCCCCCAACTTCGAAGTTGGCAGTGCAACGGACCGCTTCTGTCACAGCCTCGCCCCCCCCCCCCCCCCCTGGGGCGGTTAACTCACCCATCCCGATAGGAGAACGCGGAGGCCATGGATGAGACATCCAGGGCCCGGGCCCTGCGGAGATCCACCTGCGCGGGCCGGGGGGGGGGGGGGCAGAAGTTGTCCGCCCCCAATCATTGTGAGCTCTCTGCCCTCTTCCGCCCCCCCCCCTCCCCTTTCCTTCCTGCCCCCGCCCCCCCCCCCCCCGCCACCGCCGCCGCCCGCCCGCCCCCCCCCGCGCGCGCGCGCACGCACTCACGCACGCACGCACGCACGCACGCACGCACGCAGACACACACACACATACACACACACTGACACAGACACAGACACAGACACAGACACAGACACAGACACAGACACACACACACACACACACAAACGCACAAACACAAACGCACAAACACACACGCACACACACACACACACACACGCACACACACACACCTCCCACCCTTCCTCCGCCTCAGACCCCCTGGAGAAGAACGGCAGGTGAGCGGTGCGGTTGCGTTTGCGCGCGCGCGGGCGGATTGAAATGCGTCGCCCAGTTGGGGTTGCGGTCCCGCGCGCGTCAAACTGTGTCGCCCAGTTGCGGTTGCGGTTGCGCGCCCGTGGGCGGGTCGAAACGTGCGGCGTAGTTGCGGTTGCGGTCGCGCGCCCGCGGGCGGGTTGAAATGCGTCGCCCAGTTGCGGTTGCGCGCCCGCGGGCGGGTTGATATGTGTCGCCCAGGTGCGGTTGCCGTTGCGCGCCCGCGGGCGGGTTGAAATGCGTCGCCCAGTGGCGGTTGCGGTTGCGCGCCCGCGGGCGGGCCGCAATGTGTCGCCCAGTTGCGGTTGCGGTTGCGCGCCCGCGGGCGGGTCGAATTGCGTCGCGTAGTTGCGGTTGCGAGTGCGCGCCCGCGGGCGGGTCGAAATGCGCCCCGTAGCTGCGGTTGCGGTTGCGCGCCCGCGGGCGGGTCGAATTGCGTCGCGTAGTGGCGGCTGCGTTTGCGCGCCCGCGCGCGCGTATAAATGCGTTGCCCAGTAGCGGTTGCGCGCCCGCGGGCGGGTTGTAATGTGTCGCGTAGTTGCGGTTGCGGTCGCGCGCCTTTGGGCGGGTTGGAAGTGCGTCGCCCAGTTGCGCCCGCGCGCCCGCGGGCGGCCTGCCATGCGGCGCCCAGTTGCGGTTGCGGTTGCGCGCCCGCGGGCGGTGTGAAGCGCGTCGCCCAGCTGCTCTCGCGCGCCCGCGCGCGGGTCGAAATGCGTCGCCCAGTTGCGGTTGCGCCGCCTCGGGGGCAAGATTCCGACGCCCACCCCGCAATGCAGATGCCAATATATCTTCATTACTCGTAACGGGAAATTTGCTTGGGGGCCCAAATATGCCGACTTCGGGGGGTCGCAGGGGACGTTTTGGACGAGTTGCCGACGCTTCGCGGAGGCCGCCTTCGCGGGGAGGCAGCGAGCCCGCCGACTGCGCGCGGCCATCCAGGTCGCCGCCAGCATCGACGATGCTTGTGCTCGTCTGCACGGGCGGGGCCGGCCCTCGCGAATCCGCTGCATTTCCAGAGGCGTTTCGTTTTTCCGCGGGACAGCGGGCGCATGCAAAAAACCACGAAAAAGCACGATGTACACCCGCCCAAACGAAGTGTATACCCACCCAGAAAATTATACACCCGATCAAACATATAACACGTTTCAAGAAAGCGTCGTATACACCCACCAAACCCGGCGCACCGAATACTGGCGTATTTCTAGAGACGAAAACCTTCATGGCGTTGAGTCGCCATGTCAGTGCCTGCGGCGAGAGCCGCGTGGCTGGCTCATATCAGCAAGCCGCGGATTGCTTGCGCGTGCTCCAGGACGGAAGCTTCAGGTTTGTGCGGCCCCGCGCGAGTGGTTTGTTCGGACATGTGCATCCTGTCAGTCTTGCCGACGATGGCAATGCGACGTCGGGACATCATTCGGGGCCATCCACGGGCTCTGCCGAATATGTGCATACATGGGCGCTGTAAGGCAGGGTGGGCGTCGATATTTAGCTCCCCCTGCGCGCCCGCGGGCGAGTTGAAATGTGTCGCCCAGTTGCGGTTGCGGTTGCGCGCCCGCGGGCGGGTCGAAATCTGTCGCGTAGTTACGGTTGCGGTTGCGCGCCCGCGGGCGGGTCGAAATGTGTCGCCCAGTTGCGGTTGTGGTTGCGCGCCCGCGGGCGGGTCGAAATATGTCGCCCAGTTTCGATTGCGCGCCCACGGGCAGTTTGAAATGTGTTGTTCGTGGCGCCCTCCTGACGTTCAGTCAGTTAATCAGTCAGTCAGTCACTGGCGGGCACGGAATTTCACCCGGCTCCGCCAGGAATCAGCCCCGTGAGTCGTGCAACGCACAAGTCTCCTATTCAGATTTTGTGCAATTAATCACGTTCTTCGTCGCTGATCATTCGCATGATCGGTTGATCATTAGGGCCACGTGCTGCAGGCGGGTTGGGCACGTTGCCAACAAAAATCTGGCGCCGCTGAGCCCGCTGAAGCCTCGCCAGAGGGGGTCGGATAGCTCCAGAATTACAACGCGAAGGTTTTCGAATCGTCCCAGACAGTCAACGTCGCGCCGTTTTGTTTTTCCGAGGGCTTTTTTCCGTGGCAGGTTTTAGATGGAACGCTGGGCCAAGGTTATCCAGGGGGCGAGAAGCTCGGGGGGGCCTGGGTCCCGAGTACATTTGCGTGCTGCACGTTTGGGCCCGTCGTGATCATCTTTCCACGATGCTGCGGCATTTGAGAAGGGAGTAAGGGCCACCAGTGTGTTTTGTTCGTGGTTTATTTGGCCTCTTGTGGGCCCGCTTCCTGGTGTCGTCGCTGTTGCCGCCGTCGTCGTCGACGCCGCCGCTGTCGTCGTTGTTGTCGCCGCCTTCCCCGCCGTCGTCGTCGCTGCCGCCGTCGTCGTCGCTGCCGACGTCGCCGTCGCTGCCGACGTCGCCGTCGCTACCGACGTCGTCGTCGTCACCGATGCCGCCATCGTCCGTCATCGTCGTCGTCGTCGTCGTCGTCGTCGCCGCCGTTATTGCCGCCGCCGCCGTGGCCTTCGATGTCCGCGCCGTGCCGTGGGCGCCAGGCAAGCCAGAGCCGTACTGGCCGTCGCCGGAGGAGCAGCGGCTGGCCTTGCGCAGCGGCGTGGCGAAGTGAGAGGGGGCCGCGGCCTTTGCGCCATCGCCCGCTCGGGGATGGTACGGTGGGCACGTGTCGTGTCGACCGGCGGCGACCCCGCCGCCGGCGTTTAATGTTGAACTCGGGGACAACGCTGGGGGGGGGGATATGCATAGGGGGGGTGCATCGACCCCCAATCGCCCATTGATCGCCGATAGGGGGCCGATAGCCCCAACCTGCACAGGAAGGTGCGGATTCACTGTCGGAGGACTATCGCCGATCTATCGGTGATGCATCGCCGATTCCAGGTCGATGCATCACCCCGTATGCCAGTACCCCCCCCTATCGCTGGCCCTCATGAACGCCACTGGCAACCCAGAATCGTTCGATGTGGAACGATTTGGACGTTTCGGAAACGGCCGAGCATTCAAGGCGGAACGATCCCCGCGGTGTCAGAAGCCAACGCCGAAGTCGGCACGACACGAGCCTGACGTATGGCTTCCGCGTCCAGCGCGTGGATCAAAAGGTTCCAGCAATAGCTGGCGCAGTGGATCGGGGGCGTCGGGTCGGAAGCGTGGTTGTCTGGTGTGCATGTGTACTCCAGATTTCGTAATAAAAGGGAGGGGGTCTGGACCCTCCAAGACAAGCCATTTCAGACCTCCCCCGTGGGAGAACCCTCCCAAACATCGTCCCCAGACCCCCCAGGCCCTCCAAGATAGCCTGGAAGAGACCCCCCCCGAAATGAGACCCCCCTCCCTCTATTACGAAATCTGGTGTATGCGATCGTCTGGTTTCTGTGTCTGCTTTGACGCCAGGCTTAAGTCGGGCATGTCCCTCTACAGGAGGAGCATTCAAGACTAGTATTGAAAAACTGTCCGGGGACTTCGATGTTTCAAAAAAAAAAATAAGTTTGGACATGGTTGACTATGTTTCATTTGTCCTCCAGAACCTGCCTGTTGGAGGACATGCTCGACCTGATGCTAGGCCTGCACCGCACGCTTTCAACGCAGTGGTTTCACTCGGCCGTTGGAGGCGTAAGTGTATGTGTGAGCGTGTGTTGTTGTCTCACCCGCGTTCCCAGTAAGATCAGGAGGGGACAAACACACACAGACACAATTAGTTGTCGATTCCCTCGAAACATCTGGGAACATATGGGAAGTGGGGGGGGACGACGAAACTCAAAAAAAGTATCGAGAAATAGGGGGAATCCTGGGATGTGTGTGTGTGTGTGCATCTATCTGCGTGTCCCTGAGCCCCACTTGTGAGTCGGGTGCTGCGCCCTGCGGGCCCGCCCGCCTCGCGCAGGCGCCCCCCCCCCCCATCTGCAGCGCCTGTTAGAACTCACGATCGCGCGTGCCCCATGCCAGACTTCAGATTTATGATGTTCCAGCCTGCTTTAGCCTCGATCACCAGAAACAAATTCGAGCACCAACACAAATACCGAAACTCGAGGGTTCTCACGTGTCGGACCCTGGGAGACACTATTTCAACACTCTTTCGACACTCTTTCGACACTTTCCCGGGTGCTCGAAATTATTTCTGGGATGTGGTCCTTAAGTACGACAGGAGCAACATAACAGTAGATGCGTGTTTGTGGTCGTTGTTTCCATGCATTGTTTTGCCCGTCGGCGCGGGCCCTCGCACCCCCGCCTCCCCCTCCCCCCCACCCCCCGTGCTTGTTTCGAGCGGGTGGAGCCTCCCCCAAAGGCCGCACTCCTTGCAAACAGGTGCGCTGACCAGAGGTCTGGAGCCAGACCCCCCCCCCCTCCCCCCCCTTTGCCGCCCAATGTCGAAACGCCGAAAACAAAGACGCTCACTTTGTGTTTGTGGTTCGAGATGCTCCTAGTGCGTGGTCACGTCCTGCTTGGTGGGGTTGCTGTGCCTGTCGGTTCGGGGGTCTCCGGGCGGGGAGCGTTCATGGGTTTTCGTGAAGATATCATGGCGCCTTGTGGGGTGGCATCGGGCTGCCTGCGTTAACTCTCACCACCGTGCGGGAGCAGCAGCGTAGCAGGATAAAGTCAGGAGGGGAAACATTAGACAGACACAATTATTCGACGACTCTCAAAAAAATATTGCTGAATATGGGAAGTGGTGGGAAGACGAACGCCCAGAAAATATGGAACAATATTGGGAACCCTCGGATTTGTGTGTATTTAGTTGTGCGTTCTTGGGCCCCTGTGAAGAGGTTGACTTGAAAGTCCGCTCCTGTGAAGTGCTCTGCTTGAACGGGCGCAGGCCTTGGCTACCGCCTGCCTCCGCCGCCTCGTCTTCCGCTTCGTGCCTCCTACCCCCATTCCCTCTCGAAGGCATGGGCAGGCGGGCGCTTCCGCGCGTGTCTCAGGGGATGCCGCTCCAACGACGTCCTCCTGAGCTCCCTCTCGAAAGCGTGTGGCGAAGGCTCCCTTAGGGGGCCTGTCGGGGAGCCTCCTGCCTCCTGCGGGGCCCGTGTTCGCCCCCCCCCCCCCCCCTCTTGGACGCTCCCTTTCCCCTCCTCCCCCTCCTCCCCCTCCTCCTCCTCCTCCTATTCCTCCTCCCCCCTCCTCCCTCCTCCTCCTCCTCCTTCCTCCTCCTCCTCCTCCTCCACCTGCACCTCCCTCCGTTGCAGGTGCTCTGTCAGGGCCGACCCCTGATTTGGAGGCGTGGGCGTGGAGCTCAAACTCCTCCTCCTCCTCCTCCTCCTCCTCCTCCTCCTCCTCCTCCTCCTCCTCCTCCTCCTCCTCTTCCTCCCCCTGTGGAGCGCTCCCGAACGCTGGCGCTGACGCACGTTCCGAGGATCCTCGGCAGGAGCGGGAGAGCGCGAGAATACATGCAGGGGGGACATGCAGGGGGGCAGTGGATCTGTATGGGGCTCGCCGCCCAGACGATCGAGGCCCCGGGGGCAGAAATCGAGGAGGAGCTCCTGGGACTGAGAAAAAAAACGGGTCGTCGGAGGTCTGTGCGCGCACCTGCGCGCGCGTGCACGGACGCGCGCGTGCGCATGCTCCGCGTGGGCGCGCGCGCACGCGTGCGGCTCGCACCTCGGGCCCCCCTCCGAGGATGCAACTCCTGGGAGGTTCAATAACTCAGGATCGCCGCTGTCATATCCGTGGTCGCAAACTGAGCTAATCTGGATAAGTACCGTGCAATTCCGCTGGATCCCGCGTCATCAGGCTCAATCCACGGCTTCATCCGGCCTGATCTGGCCTAAGGGCCCCTCCAGTCGGGCCTCGGTCGCTCTTGCGAAGACCTCCCAACAGTCACGTTCTGAACCCTCTCTGCTGCGCCGCAGCGTCCGCCGCCGTGTTCGGCTCCCAGCAGCACACGCACACACACACACACACATACACTTCTGATTCGAAGGGTCCGTGCGCCCGACTCTGCTGCGCCGCGGCGTCCGCCGCCATTTGCGTCTCCCAGCAGAAGCCGCTTCTGCCTCGAAGGGTCGGCGCGCCGGACACTTTTGACCGCCGCCCGCGGCGGTCTGCGCCCGACCCTTCTCGGGGGCTGCTCGAGGGTGCCCCTCGCCCAAGGTGTGCACCCAGCTCCTGGAGGCCGCTCAGGCCTCCTGGGAACGCTCGAGAAGGGGATCGACTGCAGAATCCATTTGCTTCAAAATTCCCCACTCAGTGCTTGCACTGAAGGGGTCCTAGCGGAGGGTGAAAGATCAGACGAACATTTCCCGCCGATTTTGGTGGCAGGCCAGGTTCCCGGGCTCCCGGTTCTGGGTTCCCGGGTTCCCGGTTATTGGTTCCAGGCCGATTTCGGTGGGTTCTGGGTTCTTGGTCGATCTCCTCAGCGAAAACCATCCACTGATTGGGGTTCTGCTTTGGTGTAATTGATTTGTTCGAAGAATCTGCGAACAGATACGACTGTTCAGGAGATCTACGCACATTCGACTCCTTGCTCGTGAATTCGACGAGAAAGCCAAGTCTGAGACAACTCAGCTGTGCGGTCGATCCCCACCTCGAGACACTGGCGCACCTCTGGACCAAGGCCGCCTCTGGCACCGCCCGGACCTTCCACACACTTGCTGCGAACACTACAGTGCACCGATGGGGCCATGAGCGCTGGCTTGGCATGCGCCCTCGGCGTCCTCGTTCTCACCTCCCGCGCGGAGGGGACGGGTCGGCGCACCGCCCTGGACCGCCGACGCCTCTTCCCCGAGCGCTAATTATGATGCTCCAACCCTTAGTGGGCCCTGGAAACGACAGCGCCATTTTTTTACCGGTTCCGTTTTGTAGTTTTTTTTGCAGGTTCCGATGCCGTTGTTTTACCGGTTCCGTCGCCGTTTTTTGACCAGTTCCGGCTCCGGTTCCAATCTTGGAGCCGTTTTTTTGCTGTTTCCGGTCGCCGTTTTTTTGCCGTTTCCATTTTCAAGGGGCATTTTTTTGGAAACGGTGAAAAAACGGCCTTGCCGTTTCCGGGGCCCACAAAGCTCCAACCTACTGTAGCCTTGATCGCCAGAAAGAACTTCGAGCGCCAAAAAAAATACTAAAACTCAAGGATTGTTTCACGTGTCGGGCCCTGGGAGACACTCGCCCGACACTGTTTCGACGCTCTTTTGACACTTGTTCGGCTGCTCGAGATTATTTCTGGGATGTGGTCCTTGAGTAAGATGGGAACAACATAACCCGAGCGGTGTTGATGATCTCTTGGGGGTGCCGCCCTTGTCAAAGAAGCAGGGCTCCAAGAGGGCCTCGAAGGAGCCAAGGAGCACCCACAAGAGCCGCAGGAGGGCCCCGTGGGGGCCGCAGGAGGGTGCCAAGGCTGCCCAGGATGGCTCAAGCCCCGGACGGCGCCCGAGGAGCCCATGACGGCCCCGGCGTGCCCCAGGACCAGCGTGCCCTGCAGGACCGCCCACGACAGTCGGAGTCCTAAGATTGCCCTCGAGCGTCCCGAGATGTCCCAAGAGGGCCCCCCGAAGACCCCAAGACAGCCCAAGGGGGTCCACAGACATGATGCACCCCGGCCGGACAGGAACCGGAACCGGAACCAGAACAGTTCCAGTTCCAGTTCCATGCAGTGCCGGACCCGCGGAGGCGAGGACCAGAACCAGAACC